GGAATAGGAGGCGGTAAGATTATCCACGTTCTGTCGAATATTCAGGCGTTTAAATTTGAAAATGAATGTCTTGACGCTACAGATGACTCCACTTGGTCTGCCGTCAATTGTGGACTGCAAAAGTATCTACTGGTGGTATGCATATACAGACAACCGCATTCGAAAGCTAACTTTGACAAGATTCCGGCAACAAGTATTATCACCAGATGCCAACAACGGAAGTTAGAACCTCTCTGGGTCAGGTGCATTAAATTAAACCTTGTCTTTATCCACCAGCTTGTAAATGACATTTTCTATTCTTCGGTATCCTGTGACAGAGTAACAAAGGGAAAGGTATTGCCTTAAAATACGCATCTAACATATTTTTCACCTTTTCCCCAACTAATCATGATGTCATAATGCAGGATAGCAGCATCGTACAATGAACTTCTTTCTCATTTATGAGCAAACTACTATGAATAGGTAACTTTCTTTAGTTCAGGCTGAAATGAAAGCAGCTATGCTCCCTCCATCGTTATGAGAAAAACTATGGTTTCTGCTGTAATCCTAAAGTTTACATAATTATTACTTGACATGTCGCTTATTTTTTCCGCAATATTGAAAAAAAACTGGTTGTGAGAGACTCTCTAGGGATGTACGTTAAAGAACGACATAACACACCAGCGAATTTTTTAGAGAGTTCGAATTGCTGTTTTCCTTGAAAAACTCCGTTTGTGAGCCAGTAGTTTGTTCAAGTGTTACTGAGGTCACTTTACTGGGACGAAAAACAGCAAAACAGAATTTAAGATATTTTAGGACATCATTTGTGTCTAATAATGAGTCACTTGTTTATTAATCTTTTCTAATCATTCAGAAAATGTTGTTGGATCCTGTGTGTTTAACACTGAGAGGTTTGTGCATTTGGCTGCCATCTGGGAAAAGCATGTACTCCAATTGAGCTTCTCATATATTTAGGATGAATCCGAATCATGCGATAATCAGAATTCAGCAGAGGGTCACCTATGCCACTGTTCTTAATTTTCAAAAGTAAACAACATGTAAGCATTTGACGTTGACATCAGCCATACTGGTTTTAATGAACACATCAGTTGATTAATACGCTCGATCAAGCATTCTTGCCAAACCACGATTGAGTTCTTGGTTTAACTTACTCTGAAAATTAGACAGCTTAGAAGTTAGACACTAAGATACCCATGATCTCGATATACATATTATAACCTCCATTACTTTCTCTTCTAGTTGTCCGATGAATGTTTCATCAGGAAGGAGAAAAAAATTTGTATCAAGTATGACGTTGACATATTTAGAGGTCCGCTCATACAAATCATCCCTCACGATATGACTGATGTCACCGTGTTCAAAGGTGGGTGACTAAAGGAACTCGTAGACTTTGTCGCAGATTCCTCAAGCGTGTGCTTTTATCTGTTCGTAACCCATGATAAATTACTAATCAACTGAAAGCGAGCTATGTTATGACCTGCCTTCACTATAGGTACGAGATGTAAACCATAGAATTTTTTTCTCATAAGCTTAACCGGAAAAGTTGTCAAGATTCTGGAGAAAACTATTCGCAAGTAGTTCTTTAAGTATCTAGATAAAAATACGATTTATTTAGAAGAGCAACACAGCTTTAGAGAATGGTGTTTATGTATCACGAACTCATTGGTAACTCGAGAAATATGCTGTGTCAATAAAAGTTGAAAGTACATACAGTGTTCATTGACCATAGTGTGGCTTTTTATAAAATTCCACACGGATGGCTGTTATCTATGTTGAGTGACATCTAAATTTGGCATGACATACTCATGTGGATAAACGGTTTTTAGATGTACGGAAACAAAGAGTACACATTAACTGTAATTTGCTTAGTGAAGTGATCCAAGATACAACCTCAAGACCAGTATGTAAATGGCCTGCCTAGTCAGCTTTCCAACTGACTTGTTCACATTATTGTTGATAATCAACTTTCGTCCCAAATGCCATCCGTTTTCTTGTCTTCCAAAGAGAGAATTTATGAGGCGTACTAGAAAAGTAAAGACGCCACAGGTATTCGGAGTTTGACAACGCCTTGACCAGTAACACCTTTTGTAATCAAAATATGCCAACCCAGTCAGATCGGAAGTCAGAAGCGAAGATGTTCGAAAATATATTTGATAGGCTATCGACCTATCGAGAAATGATCAATCTAAGCTGGTTAACGCTTGCAGGAGATGTGAAGCACGGCGTACCCACTCGTGATCTGGTGTGGATGCCTAACCATGAGCCCTCAGCCATGTGAGTCCGATAAAACTCATGTGGTCAACATCAAATGTCGTGGACTCACAGAACTCTTCGTTTTGGGGATTTATTTACCACTACTTAAGTTCACAAGACCAGAGTCAGTTGTTTACCAACTGACTATCGACTTTATGATAAATCATCAACGAATAAAACCCATTTTCTCAAAACCTGATTAGAGCCTCTTCCATCAACGCGCCCAAGCAAAATTCAGAAGAACTTCTGGATTTCAATCAGTGGGTTATAACAGACCACCCAAACTTCTGTCCTTACCAAACTGAAACTGAACACTGATTTACAAGCACTTCTTTAGAGTTTGTTTCATATGCCTAAACCGATATGTGCAGAGAATAGCGATTGAATGTTACTAGACTCGTTTGATGAAAACCACTTCAACTTTGCCCACCACCACTTGAACTATTTTTATAGCCAGTTTTGTCATCAAAACTAAGCTAAGGTATCCCAACAATAATTTGCGATGGAATTTTAAACGGCTGAATGTGCGAGCTCTACATGACCATCTACAACAGGTGGTTTGGGATGTTCACCCTCAAATCGATGTGGATGGTCATTGGGACTTCTTGCTGCACACGCTCTTATGTGCTACAGACCATTCAGTTCCTCAAACGGTTCTCAAAAGCTTCAAGCCACCTACAGTAATCAAGAACCGTACCCTTCGCCTCCTAAGCCGCAAACGGCACTTTTGGGCGGAATACAAACGAACTAATAACGATGGAGCGTATAGGCAATACAAACATATCAGGAACACATGCACGAAGGCTATAAGAGAAGACAGGCTTCAGTACCAAACAAAGCCTATGGACAAATTCGCCTCTAACCCTAGAAGCCTATTCCGTTATGCAGCCTCTCTTCGTCAAGCCAAAACAGGAGTTTCTCAACTGCTAGGTCCTAACGGCCCGACCAACAACGATGGCGACGCCGCTAACCTTCTGGCGGCCCATTACTCTCAAACATTTCAACCGGCTGACATCAACTTTATTGACGACAGTTTCATCTGCAATTCCACAGGACTTTCTGAAGTGGACCTAAGCGCTGACTTGGTGTTCCGGAAACTGCAGCACTTAAGACTTGACACTTCTCCTGGCCCGGATATGGTTCATCCTGCCATACTGAGAGAGGCAGCCTCAATCCTGGCAACGCCGCTTAGCGTGATGTTTTCACACTCGCTTAGCCAAGGCAAACTACCGGAAAATTGGAAGTTGGCTCACATCACACCAATTTTCAAAGGTGGTCGACGCAATGAACCTTCAAGTTACCGGCCGGTAGCTCTTCTGTCGTTACCTTCAAAACTCATGGAGTCCCTGATATGCGACGGTTTAAATGACTACCTACTGTCCTTAAAATTCTTCTCACCCCAACAGCATGGTTTCAGGAAGGGTTACTCTTGTATAACCAACCTGCTGACTGCGGTGGACAGATGGACAAGCATCCTCGATCGCAAGGGAAAGGTTGATGTCATTTACCTTGATTTCTCAAAAGCTTTTGATAAGGTTAACCACTTGTGTCTTATCAACAAGCTCAAACGACTAGGTATCAAACCACCTCTAATCGACTGGCTTACTTCATACCTAAAAAATCGACACTTTAAGGTTAGGGTTAATTTCACTTTATCTCAAGCTATGGAATGTCCTAGTGGGGTCCCCCAGGCCTCAGTACTAGGGCCTCTTCTCTTCTTGATCTACATAAATGATCTTCCTCAACAGGTAACGTCAGACTTATTACTTTTTGCCGACGACGTGAAACTTTGGAGAGAGATACGCAACCAAGACGATATACAGGCACTTCAAGAGGATCTGACTCGACTTCAAAGTTGGGCAGACGATAACGGACTTGCCTTTAACACTTCTAAGTGTAAAGTAGTCCATCTGCGACATGTCGCAAACTACAGTTACAACTTAGGAAACTCCTCTCTAGTAGTATCCCAAGTCGAAAAAGATTTAGGAGTCCTGGTGCCCCATGACTTAAAGTCTTACGCTAACTGTGACAAAAACGCCTTCCGAGCAAACCTTGCACTGGTAACGTTGAGGCGCATTTTTGGTCAGTTTGACGGAAGAACTCTCCACACAATCTTCAATAGTTTCATCCGTCCCCATTTAGAGTACGGAAACATAGTACTCCCCCCTCACTCCAAAAGGACAAGGTCACTTTGGAGCGTATCCAACGGCGAGCCACGAAATCAATTCGAGGACTCAAATCTAAGCCTTACGAAGAACGCCTCCGTTCACTAGACCTTTACCCACTAGAATATAGGCGTCTTAGAGGTGATTTATTAATGGCTTATAGTATTCTTAACACTTCTGGACATCCTCTTAAACACCTACTTAAGCTTAGTTCGAACAATAACCTAAGGGGCAACACCCAGAAACTGGAAACACAACATAGCAAGACGGAATGTAGACACAACTTCTACTCCTTAAGAGTTGTCAAAAGCTGGAACTCGCTGCCGGCCGAGCTAGTCCAAGCGACTTCTCAGGAGTCCTTCAAGAGGCAACTTGACCTATTCTTAAGGACCAAGGACAGCATCGCACTATGATTTACCAATTTCTTTTCCTCTTTTATTGTTAACATACCTAGGTTCCTACCTGGAGGATTTGGTGATCCCCTACTACTAGACACGGAAGCCTGTTAAGCGAAAGCTTCTTCTATTCCGTCCACAACCATTTGAACCATTTGAACCATTTGAACAACGACCCGCGTCTTTCAACCAAATACCTTTCGGCCTTGTCAGTCGTGGGGCATTTCTGCTCATTTCGAGGTGATTGGAATGCTAAAAGATTTGTACCTGATATAAGAATACCTTAGACTTGATAAAAAGCATTTTATTATTTTTTCGCCAACTTAACCAATATTTACGAGTCTTGTTTCACATGTTTTCAAAAGTGAAATCTATTACGGTTAAGGCAATACATATTTGTATCTGAAGTTACATTGAGTATGTTTTCTTTTTTACGGCTTCCTGTGCTTGTTCCTAGATCTTGACTTCAGGCGGGACAACTTTGGGTTTAACGCTAAGTTGTAGAATTCTAATCAACGTTGATCACTGGAAATTCGAGTTGTAAGCCGACTGAAGTTTAACGTATTTTCGACGTATCAGTAAGAAAATCTAAAATCCGCAGGTTTCAATGTTGGAACTATGTTTATAAGAGGCAAACATGCTTCATTTGTCTTTTGACGAGGAAACGTTTTGAATTTTATATCCCATATATGTAAGACCACATTTAGAGTACTGTATCCAAGCAGCTAGCCCGTGTCTGGTAAAAGATGCTAACTCCCTTGAGCGTGTCCAGCGTGTGGGAACGAAATTAGTGGAGGGTCTTTCTAGACTCCCTTACGATGAGCGTTTAAAACGCCTAAACCTTTTCCCCTTGTCGTATCGTAGGACACGAGGTGACCTTATACTGGCATTTCGTATCTTTAATTATGATTTGGGTGTTAATATGTCTTATTTTTTTGCTCCCTCCAGCACTAATAATCTCCGAGGTCATAGCAAGAAGGTTCATAAACCAAGATCTGATAAACTTAAAGTGGGGTCTTGTTTTTCTCATCGAGTAATCAATGATTGGAACGCCTTACCCGAACAAGTGGTATCAGCCCCATCAGTGAATACTTTCAAGGAGAAGCTGGACCTTCACTGGAAAGCAATGTGTCAGGATTAACACAGGTTCATCAACCTACTACCCTTATTACTGAAAACTGAAGGTCCTTCCAGTGATGTATAACATGTATAAAGTTACTCATCCCCGTTACCATAATTTTGAATAGCATTCTAGAAGCGATGTCGTACAGGATATTCGTTAACTTATGTTAATCAGTGACTTGCTTACACTGTTCCAGCACAGACTAAATAAAATGTAAATGTAGAACATTACCGGATGTTGTGCTTATGTTCCCCACTGGAAAATGTGTTTATGAACAAGCATATTGGTAGTTGATAGAACTTCGATAGATAGAATCTTTTTGTAAGGGTACAACTTATTTTTGGACTCAGAATCACTGCATAAATCCAGCTGTATAAAGTCGTGATAAGTTCAGTTATGTTCTGCCAGCCTAAACTGTGGTGTGCTTAATGGCTGTGCCCGACAACTATTCCCGTAGCATTCATAAAGTCTGGTAAAAATAATCAAATTGTGGTTATATGTTCATGACAGGCCACTTTTCAAGTGAATTTGGTGAGTCGGATTTATCATCTAATCAGTTTAAGTCACTGTGTTTGTAACCCTGACAAAAATATGATTCGAAATTCAGAAAACAGATAAGTTGGTTTAAATTAACTTCATTTCTACTGGCATAAACATACTCTTGTCTTTCATATAGCGGCTTTTGAAATATTTTGGAAAATACAAATCATGTGATACTAAATACAATATATCAAATCGGTACATCCGAGTAAAAAGGAATTGTCACGATCTAAAGCTCGAATAAGTTGATAGTTCGCTTGGGCAGTTTAGCTGAGAAGGTTGGTTCAGTACTCAACGATTTTTGTTCATTCGTTTTGTGTGCTAAGAATTGTAACATTAAGTGCGTTTGCATCTTACAGTTTATTGCCTTCTCAAGTCATCCTCTCCCGTCTATTAATCGAAGGATAACCTTTTATGTGCGTATTCACTTTCCTGCCCGTAATCCTCATATTTTGTACGTTTATCCTGTGTATATAGTTCAACGTTGCAGTATGCTGTCCTTACGAGCTTTGAAGACCTTGCGACTTCAGTACATCACTCGGAAGTGTTTATATACTTCAGCATTACGCTATCAAAACCCTACCTCCAGTGAACCGTTTTTAAATGGAACTTCATCCAATTATTTAGAAGACATATATGAAGCATGGCTTCGAAACCCTGATAGTGTGCACAAGGTATTTATTCAAGCTTATTGGTGACAGTTAGTCATGGGACATTTATTTTAAATGTTTAGCTTCTGGAGCTACCCCAGGAAATGCTTACATTCAACCACCTACTTTGGGTAAAGAAGGTTTGAAATTGGCACAGTTAGCCCCACAAATCGCTGCACAGGCAGTGACACCGAGTCTTAAAGCTATTGAAGACCACCTCTGTGTTCAGGCCATAATCCGTTCGTATCAAGTGAGTCCCGTAGCTTAAATTTTATTGTTGTATATATTTAGGATATTTTTTTACGCTGATTGATTAGTATCTCACATTCTGTGAATGCGAACAGTTTTGTGTTGGCATTCAGTAAGTGCAGTATGTAAAAAAAATTTTCAAATGATAGTTCACCAATAATCGTATTATTTACGGTCACCTTATTGAGTTTTAAACCTAAACCTCTAGTGTTATTACAAAAGTCACTACAGAAGCAAATGTTTTTTGTTTTACATTTTGAAGTCCTACTTACAAAAATGAATCCAGAACGATACGACGCTTAATTTTTAGTACCAATTTAGTTGTTTTTGTTACTGCCTCCAATTATCTCTGGTAAACTATCAAACCTTTGATGTAATTCTAATTGGAATTACTCAACGTCTATCATTCCTTACCACAGTCATCGGCTACCATGGGACTGCATCTCCTGACGTTGCTCCATTGCCTTGTGGACCGAACCTTTAGGTCGAAGGCTCCGGGTGTGCCCCGTAAGGAAACCACTTGCTTCAGTTTGGGCACCTGGGCAGTACCACAGCCCACATACAAATCAAGTGGCGTGTTCTGAGCATATGTATTCGATGCCCCTTTGTACCAATATTCAAGTGTTCAAATAAATAAAACACTGAGATAAGCAATCAGATAACAGGTAAGTAAACACTACATCATCGTTTTTTACAAACGTGGTTAATGATGTAGGATAAGAAGACTAATTATCTTCAGTTTCAGATTACTGCTTTTAACTAACTAAACTATCTTAACTAACACCCATCCCCCCAAAGGATGCATATAGCTAGATTTTCTTACTTTTGTTCAAAGAAAATGTGTACAGTCAGTCTGCGCGCTTTGTGAAGAAATATAGGGAACCTCATCTGATAAAATGTGCGACAGTGTTAAGAATAACTAGGAAAAGGGAAGTAGAAGGATTCGGTTTCAGAAAAAAACACATATATTTACCTACACATATAAGCAGGTCACTGGATAACCTTGTACTTAAACTAGGAAAAAAACCGATGATTTGATCCTTCAGCAGTCAGTCAGTCAGTCAGCTACAACGTAGGACCAGGCACATATGTACATCGGTCCAGGTTGCCATACCTCATTAGCACAGCAAGATGAACAGCGGATTCATAGGAGTGGTTAGGTCAAAGGTTGCAATAAGGATATAGTATAGGAAGAAAGAATTAGTTCGTAGACAGAAAGAATGAAGTGATTTTAATCTCTTAGTTTAAGGGAAGACAGGGAGTGTATGCACCGACGCCATTGTGATCGATTCTGAGCCATGTCACCAAGAGTCTCCAACCATCGGTTACGAAAGTCACGCGGACCCCAACCAAGTAGTTTGCATCTACCAACATGGCTCAGACTAGAAGTTAGTGACTTCAGGCACTGATGCCACGTTTCGGTTTGGCCGCCCCTAACTTTCTTCCAACCATCCCCTACCCCGGTTAGCATTGCACGTCGTGGTAATCGGTGTTCAGGCATACGTAATACGTGGCCCAACCATCTCAGTCGATGAAGATTCATAACCTCATCAACTGATTTACCATCATTCCCTAATACCCTGCGTCTAACCTCGCTATTACTTATCCGGTGATCCCAGCAGATGCCAGCAATATTTCTAAGGCATCTGTGGTCAAATACTAGTAGCTTACGGGTGTCTTCTACTCTTAAGAGCCATGTTTCGCTGCCGTAAATTAAAACAGAACGAACTGCCGCGCAGTATACTCGTCCTTTTATTGATAGACGGATATCTCGCCTTCGCCAAAGGTGACGTAAGTTGGCAAAAGTCAAACGAGCTTTTCGAATCCGTGCTGAGATTTCGTCAGACACCAACCCATTAGGGCTGATCACACTTCCAAGATAAGTGAAGTTGTCAACGCGTTCAACTACTTCACTCCCTATCCTTAGTTCAGGTGTTGACGCAGGCCAGTCCTGAAGCAACAACTTGCATTTAGAGGGAGAGAAGCACATCCCAAACATTCTGGCATTGTTGCTTAGTGCTACCAGAAAACTCTGCATTTTGTCAGCGTCTTCACCAAACAGGACTATGTCATCTGCGTATTCTAAGTCGATAAGTGGACCTCCTGGAAGGAGATAAATACCCGAGAATTCAGTCGACGAGAGTGTTATTTCCATCAATAGGTCTATGATGAAGTTAAACAAAAATGGAGAAAGTGGACAGCCTTGACGGACACCACTTGAGGTTGCAAAAGTAGATGACAGTTCGCCATAAGCCCTGACTCCACTAGTAGTGTTAGAGTAAAGAGCCTTCACAAGGTTTATGTACTTCTGAGGTACGCCTTTCAATGACAGACACTGCCACAGAGTCTCGCGGTCTACCGAGTCAAATGCTGCTTTTAAATCAAGAAAGACCACCATCGTCGGACGCCGATAGGTATGCCTGTGTTCTAGAACCTGACGAATGGTGAATATGTGGTCGATGCAGCCACGACCAGGTCTAAAGCCAGCTTGGTTCTCTCGAGTTCGTAGTTCACGAGTCTTAGTTAGGCGTTTGATAATTATCGAGGCCAGTATTTTAGATACTATGTTTGTTAGACTAATCCCTCTGTGGTTGTCACAGGATGATTTTGACCCTTTCTTATATATTGGGACGATAAGTGATTGCGACCAGTCAGATGGGATAAAGTCTAATACCCAGGTCTTAGATAAAATATTAATCAACCTGATCGCTAAAACTGGACCACTATACTTAGAGACATATGGAGTCAATCCATCTGCACCTGCTGCTCTTCCTCGTTTCAGATTAACTATAGCCTTTTGAACTTCAGCAAGAGTTGGGGGACCTACTTCAATGTTCCATTCACACTGTCTGGGGATGGAGGGTAGTTGTAGAGTAGCTGAAGGCCAGCTGAACTGTTCTCTAAAATGTTCCGCCCATCGTTCTAAACGTCTGGACTGGGAGCAGATGAGAGTATCGTCGTTTTCCGAAATAATCTCACTTACACTTGACTTATTAATTCCAGTTTCTTTTATTAGTCTGTAAAGCTGTCTTGTGTTCCCTATAGTCGCCGCCTTTTCCATCTCTTTTGCTTTCGTTACGCACCACTGCTCACGGTCGTTCTTTAGACTTTTTCTTAACCTAGATCTGATTTGTTGTCGCTCTTCATTATGTTCAGAACCTGATGGGGCGAGTTTGCGAGAATCCAGCAGTGTGACAGACCTTGAAGAAATCCACTGGTTCCTTGCAACTCTGTGGTTTAAGTCACTAATAGATGTCACTGCTGTTTCCACAGCTGATTGTATGCCCTTCCAAGCAACATCTGGGTCAGCCTCGTCTTCACAACTACCTAATTGTGACCTCAGTTGTTCCTGGAACCTACTTTTGGTTTTCTCGTTACTCAAGTCAGTTCTAACGGGTCTTTTTAATGTGGCTTTTTTGCGTCCAGTGAGGCGCAAGCAGATGCGTGACCGTATTAGGGCATGGTCGGAGTCCAAGCAAGTACTCCAGAATGAGCGACAATCTTCTACCGACCCTCTCCAACGATGACTGATGGCAATATGGTCTATTTGAGTCCATCGTTGGTTTGGTGTAGCGGGTCGCCATGTTAGACGATGTCTCTCCTTATGCTTAAAATTTGTGTTTGCTAAAAATAAACGATTGTCTGAGCATAGCTGCAGCAGACGATCACCATTATTTGTTCGCTGTGTCGGAATACTAAAATATCCACCTAAATGCCTTTCTGTTTGGTTTAAACTGCCTATCTGAGCATTAAAATCACCTGCTACGAGTACTATGTCTGAGCGTTTAGCTTTCTGAAGAAGTTCGGACAGCTTTCTGTAAAATTCATCTTTCACATCATCTGAGCTGCAGTCAGTGGGAGCGTAGGCAGAAACGACAAAAAGGCAACGACGTGTGTCCCTATCCTTCCGAGTTCTTACGTAGCCGTTCAGCCGAACAGCACATAGACGACTGTTGACGGGGATCCACTCTAGCAGTGCTTGTTCGGCCCTCATGCTAACTGCTATGCCTACACCTGCCAGTCCACGAGAACTTGCCATCGGGTCACCAGATACACGAAGGGTGTATCTCGTTGGCTCTCCGTTTTGCCGAGGTGAGGTCAAGTGAATGACCACACTGGAATCCTGTATGCGTGTTTCAGAGACACAGCATACATCAATGGAAAGAGACTCTAGGGTTTTAGCCAAGGAAGCCTGCTGACCGATTTGACATAGTGTGTGTACGTTGATGGCTCCGATATGTAGTTTGGAGCGAGGTTTCAGTAGACCTGGGACAGTGTTTTGCGCACTAGAATCGTTGGCTTTGGTGACACTTGAGGTGGAAGCCGAGAGAGGAAATTTAAAGTTGAAAGTCGATGTAGGAGGAATAATAGGAATTGAAGAAGAAGGTTGATTATGAATACAGTGGTCTTGAGTGCTGTTAGAGGTATGAGGGCGGTTTTCACTTCCCGGTTGCCCACACCGTGGAAGGGTTCTTCTGGAGGTACCTGAAAAGGAATTTAGATTAAAGGTGGTCTTAGTGACCTGAGAGCGTGACCGCAGTGCCCAAGGGACAACTGCTTGAGGTCGGTCACACACGACCTTGATATGGGTAATTTTTGTGTTAGCTCCGTACTTATTGAGACCTTACCGCCGGAGACGGATATCCGTGGGATAAGGCGAGGTGTGCATTTTTAGGGTCGACCTTTTCTAACCCCACCCCTCCTTGTGGGAAGGCAGCATCGCTGTCATGCTGGTTGTCTGAAGGAAACACCTTACTGCTGTCACACCTCTTTACAGTCAACAGTACGACTTCGCCTTCGGACCTTGGGTTTGTTGCTTTTAGTCTTACCGCTCTTCAACCGACCTGTCTGACATGGTAGGACCTTGAGGAACGGTTGTTCCAGCCAGTATAGCTCGGTTGCTTCATCACGATAGGCAAGCCCGACCACCACGTCAAGGTAGCAACAACGGTCGGGGATTTGATCCTTAAAGCTCTATTGTCACAAGTGTTTAGAAATCATCTGCGTTTTTTCTGATAGCTACAATAGTTTGTTTAGATTTCTAGCAAACAGAACACTTGTTCTAATCGCTAAATCAATCTTTTAAAATGTGTAAATATTATGGCTTGTAGAGATGAATTGTTGTTGAGGCTTGAAGGTCGCTACGATAGTCACTTTAGACATTAATTTACTTCGAGCCTTTAGGGTGACGGCTTTTACTCCTTTTAATATTATGAACATCTGGTTTCATCTATTCACCTATACTTTGTGAAATGTAACGAAGTAAGATATATTTTACTGGATCAAATCAATTTTAGTAAGTCCACAAATATCGTATATTGTGTTGATGCTTGACTAAACGTTTGAAGCGTTGTTCAGTCTCTAGGTCATCGCATCGCCGATCTTGACCCATTGGGGATATTGTCTGCCGATCTGGATGATTCTATACCCCCCGAGTTGTCGTTGAGTTTCTACAACCTTGGTAGGTTGATCTTAAGAGCGGTTTTATTTATCTTTGAACAGTTTTATTTTTGCCATGTTTTATATTGATTTTTCACGTGTCTCGTATGTATTAGATGCGTGGTCATCTTGCTGCGCATCTAGATCCTTTAGGTATTACGTCTCCAGAACCCGGCATAGCCAGACATATTGTTTATCAAAGGTACCTAGGTGATAAAAGTAAGTCTGTTAGATATGTTAGGTCAGCGTTGTTCAGTCTTAGCTTGTAAATTTGTTTAAAGTTGTTTTGTGTCCGTATGATCTCTTATTAATGAAAACGATAATATTGCATACGGTTCGACTGTTTACAATTATCATACATGTTGTTTTAAATATCGCCGGATATTATAAAAAGCATGCTTTTTCTTTACAGTAAAGACGCAGCATCGTGATAAATGCTAAGCAAAGACTGTAATTTTAGGTATTTCAACTGCCTAATTTCAACTATTTAAATAAGCATCCCGAATTTGTTTGTATGAAAGCTTATTATTACTGTCCACACATACCAAAACTTTGGAATCTAGGTTTGTGTTTCGGGTTGGGTTTTGTAGATCGTCTCCATTGGATCTAATTCTGTTGTGTTTTTTTTACGATAAATAGTCTAATTTGACTTTCAAAATACACTTCATGAGTTCAGAAGTGAAGACTAGAATTCAAAATCGTCAGCTTGTTGTACTTTCGTCTAGATGTTGTAATATCGGTGCATGCTGTGAATGGAAGTTTATTTTGTTTGTTTTCTTATGGGTAATTGTTTTAACGATTACTATTCGTAATTGTCACCAATTTTAATCAGTCTTTTGTTGTTTACAGGCGAGCCCGACCTGGATAAGACGTTTAGGCTTCCACCTACTACACATATCGGAGGTGATAAGCAGGAACTTACTCTACGAGAAATCATTAGGCGTTTAGAGGTAAATTTTCGGTAACAACATTATTTTGATGTAGAGTCATAACTTTTAATTCTGGATTGGTATTTTTATTATATATTGGTAGTTCGGTAACTAATAGACTTAAGTTTTGTTGTTCAAACGAGAATCTTTTTCGAGTTACATATAATTACGATAAAAGCCAAATTGAAAACTGTCGACTATTAACGAATTTTTGAGTAGATGTAAAATAATTTTAGTTCATTTCATCAAAATTCGTCTACGATTCGAAAAAATTATTGGTTTCTATTTATGGTAAGTCTAATAATATAGCTTTGAGTTTGTTGGGAATGAAATGGACTTTTACAATCATTAATATTAACAAGTGCAACATTTGTTGCACGATAATCCAATTGGTGTCACCATCTTGAAACATTGACTTCGGTGGCTTGGACATGTTCTACGAATGTCGTCCCAGAGAATTCCACGTCGTGCATTATTGGCCGACGCTAGGACTGGTTGGATAAAACGGAGAGGTGGTCAGCGTATGACATGGTGTCGTGGTATGAAAGAAATCTGCAAAGGGCTGGCTTCTGTTGGTCCTTCACGACTCCCTGGCTGGGGTCCGAGAGATGGTGCTACACAGTGGCTAAAGACGTTATCAGATATGGCTCATAATAGAAGCCAGTGGCGATCCTGCTGTAACCTTCTCTTACTTTCTTCATAAAAAGTGGTTGTATCTTCCTTAACTGAAAAAAATCTTCTGGTTATACCTTTCCGTTTCCCCCATTATTATTATTATTATTATTATTATTATTATTACATTACTTTACACTAATCTGTGGTTGTTATTGTTCTTCTTTTCCCTATACGCACCTTACCCTCTTTTTTCTCTTCGAATTCTCATTGTTTTGTGTGGCGCATATATATTTGGTGCTCCCTTGTACCAATATTTATGTGTCCAAATAAATAAATATTAACAAGTTCATTTGTCATTGATTTTCTTAATTTTCTCCAGTTTTGATATATCATGATGGGACTGTTGAACCATTGAAATGTTAACATTTTAAGCTTATATTTAAGATAATGTTTAAATTTAATGAAGATTGAATTTTGAGAAGTCATTCCTCTTATACTAGTTTTATTTTGTTTTTGAAATATTTTCATATTAATTTCAGAATGTTTACTGCAAACATATTGGTATTGAGTATATGTTTATTAATAGTTTAAATAAATGTGATTGGATAAGACGTAAATTTGAAACACCCGGTTCAATGGATTTATCAATTGAAGAGAAACGTTTAATATTAGCCCGTCTTGTTCGTTCAACGCGTTTCGAATCATTTTTAGCAAAGAAATGGAGTTCAGAAAAACGTTTTGGACTTGAGGGATGTGAAGTTTTAATACCAGCAATGAAAGCTGTCATTGACTCTTCGTCTGCGCTTGGTGTTGAAAGTTTTGTGATTGGAATACCACATCGGTTAGTCTTGTTCTTTTACTATTTTGTTAGATTGTCTTTGAAGACTGCTGATTACATGTATATTTCTCAAGGAAATTATATTATTAGTTGTTACTGTTTATTGGTCCTCATCAAGGAAATGAATTACTCTCAATGTTTTGATCAAACTACAATAATTAGTTATTGGTTATTGTGACACACTAGTTACTACCGTGTCATGCTCATGACTACGTGACAGTACTTATTTATTTAGGTCATATTGGCTTGAATACTTCAGTTTTCATCAGGTTGTTTAAAAAAGCATTTTATGCCATTCAACATTCACTGTTACAGTATTAATACGTATTCTATTGTGGTGGAGATTTATACCGTTAACATACATCTACATGGAAGATGATTAGCCTACTGGTTATTTTTTTAGTAATCGTTACTTGTGAATGCTCAAATCTATTAGTTTATTGCAACTTATTGGATATACATCAGAATTTTTTACTAAAACTAATTGTCGGTTGTATACAAATATTGTATACCAATGATTAATGATTATTAATGATTATTTCAAATCTCAACTTTATTATTAACCATGAGGTGTTCTATTTGAAACTCATGAAATTAAAATTTTATTAATAAATTTGTAAAATTTGATGGAGTTGTGGACAAATGACATTAGTTCAAATGTTGGAAACTAACTGACACAGGTATCTTTTCTAATTTAGTATATTTCATTATCCATAGACGTTCAAGTTTGTAACTGAGCATATGATAGCAATGAAATTTGTATTCCTATGTTAGCTTATTCATACAGTCAAAATGATTATGAACTTATATAAATGTTATGAAAAAGTTATAAACAGCTAGAAGCAGTTAGTCCCTCTGATAAATTTGGATAGTGCAATAAGAAGACATGGTTCTGATAATCTTTGTTTTCTTATCACACTATAAACAGTTTATGAACTCTATGACGTCGATACATTTTTTCTCTTTACTATTCTCAATATTATTTATATTTAAGCCAGTACAATCGTAGCATTTTTCCTTATTTGTTATGTCACTGGTTGAAACCATGAGTCAATTGAAGGTAGACCACCATGGGAAACCTGGAAGCACTGGACGGCTGTTTCGTCCTAGTATGGGACTCCCCGGCAGTGCGTATTCACGATCCCGCTCCCCGTGAGATTCGAACCCAGGGCCTGTCAGTCTCGCGCCAGGCGCTTAACCAACTAGACCACTGAGCCGGCATCTAATGGTGTTAATGTCTAACTTCAACCAATTTAATGTATTTATCTTTTATTGAATAATACTTTTATGTGTGAAACTTATATTTGAAACAATCTCAGCGATTGAAATTTAGAATAATTTGAACATTTCATCCAGCTAACTTATCTGAACTTCTTCAGGGTAATAATCAAAATCATCAAAGAAATATCTAGCGTTTTAACAATCAAATCTATACTGTGAAAATAAATGACTGAATGAATTGTGTGTATGTATGTGTAAGATTGAGTTATTAACAGTTGATAAAAGTGCAAGTTGGAGGTTGAAAAACTGTTTCTGAATCATCGATGCTCATGTAAAGTGAAAATCACCAAATACATAATTGTATTGCTAAAATAATCCACATTAATTTCGGTTAGAATAACGATGCATGTGAAATAAATAGGTTGGATAGAGATAGGGTCTAATTACTTGTTAACGAATATTTGTCAAGTAGTTGCTAGCTGAATACCATCCTTTCTGTTCAGGCTGTTCTTGTTCGCCCATATACACAGCGCTTCGGCTGTCGATCTTACTTTATGAGTGCTAAAAACTTTCTGAAGTATTTCGGTCCTCCCAATATTGATCTTGTGTCCTGTTTCCAACGCATGTGACGCTATCGCAAACTTATTCTCAAGTTTCTTTAGATCAACAGAGGATTTGGGAACATTTTTCAAACACTGTTTATGTTCCTCCAACCTTACATTTAATTGTCTGGAAGTCTCTCCTACATAAGCTGCATTATAATTATGACATTTGATCTCATAGGTAATATTTTATTGTTCTTCTTTTACTATTCTCAATATTATTTATATTTAAGCCAGTACAATTGTAGCATTTTTCCTTAACTTATTTGTCATATGATGTATTTGTCTTCTGTTAAATAATACTTTTGTGGAAAAATGATATCTGAAATAATCTCGGTGATTAAAATTTAAAGTAATTCGAACGTTGAGATCGCTGAGATTATTTCAAATGTAATTTCCACATATAATGACTAATCTATACTCGGCGCCTAATTTTGATGAATATTCGTATAAAATACAACTTTTGCTTTATGCTTTTCTCAAGATTTATTGCATTTATGTAAACAGTTGTGAATAATCGTTTAGATATTTTCATTAGTTTATCAATACTCTGGGTTTTTTTTTCAGTGGAAGGTTAAACGTTCTAGCCAACGTTTGTCGTAAACCTTTGGATGATATATTTTGTCAGTTCGACTCTAAATTGGAAGCTTGTGACGAAGGTAGTGGTGATGTGAAATATCATTTAGGCATGAGTCATCAACGATTAAATCATATGACAGGCAAGATGATTAATCTTGCAGTATGTGCTAATCCAAGTCACTTAGAAGCTGTTTGTCCGGTCGCTCAAGGTAAAACCAAGGCTGAACAATTTTATCGGTAAGATTTTACTGTCATTTTGTTACAATTTATTTTTATGAGAGATGCGTAAATCTATTTTTATTTGTGTGATGTAGAAAATAAGATACCGCATAGTAATATCATCATCATTATGATCTGAATTTGATACGGCAATTCGGATATTTATTTTTAGATTGTATGAAAGTAACTAGCTTAATAACGTGACTCTGCAAAATGAAGGTTAACTTTATCAGGTTAAGATCCGTCCGTTAGTCACAACTCATTCAGATTACTGATCATGCAACTTTATGATTTGAGACTTGATCAAATATAGATTACTCTTGAAGTCAACGATAGTTTTCTAGGATCGTTCAAGAAAACAATTGCAGGCTTCTTTGAAACAAATTAAATCTCCATTTATTCTGTTCTTATCTGAATATTGTTTTCTCTTCGAGTTTTTGCTATTAGTACTGTATTGATTTTTTCATGTTCATTTTATAATCTCATTATTTTTTGTGTGGCGTTTTCTATTAAACCAAGTATTTGTACTGTTCAATGTTAGTTTTTACATGAGATCGCTTCACATATAGAGGTTCTAGTTTATTTCTTTTTTATTTGGCTTGTAAATAGGAAATAACAATTTTTCTAAAAAGTGATAGTTTAGCAATATGTATTCATTGTTTTTTTTCATACTCTAGGGGTGATAGTGATGGAAAGAAAGTTATGTCGATTTTAATTCATGGAGATGCAGCATTCAGTGGTCAAGGTGTTGTTTATGAAACTTTCCATCTTAGTGATCTACCTTCTTATACAACTAAAGGTACCATTCATATTGTCGTTAATAATCAGGTAAATTGTATTTAATGATAAATACAATTTTAAATTATCTTCAGTTATCTGTAACAATACATCACTCTTACAAGATATAAAAAAAAGTTTGATTTTTTATTTTAACTGACCTAATTAATTATGTGATCCATCAAATCTTGTTTGATTCGTCTCACACTACTTTTTTTTATCTTAAAGAAGATTTCAGTCAAATTATTGATTTACCACTACTGTTTCATTGTTCTTCTTCAGTGCTCTTTTTACTATTATCAAAGTAGGTAAATATACACGTTTCAATTATGATGAATATTCCTTCAATTAATATCTAAAGTTTAGAAGTAGTTCTCACAATTTTTATCAAGTATTCAGTATCCTGTTAATGTAATGATCAATGTATTGATTACTTTAAATATATCATCCTATGTAATAATGACAAGTGTAGATTGAAACATTTGACAATTTCACTGGTTGAAATCATGAGTCAATTGAAGCTAGACCACCATGGGGAACCTGGAATCACTGGACGGCCATTTTGTCCTAGTATGGGACTCTTCAGCAGTGCGCATCCACGATCCCGCCCCCCGCGAGATTCGAACCCAGAACCTATCAGTCTCGCGCCAGGCGCTTAACCAACTAGACCACTGAGACGGCATCTAACGGTGTTAATGTCTAACAATTATTTGATTCATTACTGTGGTAATATTTAGGGTGAATTTCTGTAGTTATAACTAATGGGAATCAATAAAATGTTATGAAGATCAAAACTGACTGAACGGATTGAATTCATTCAACACTTTTTACTACATAATTATCTATTAATATTAGTTTAGTCAGTCTAAGTATGTTGTTTATAAATGACTCATGATTTAATCTACTGACCTGTTTAATCAATGGAATTTTTGTTTAGAATATCAGAAAAGATCATCTCATTTCTATACTTTTTTCTCACATACAATATAATTTGTTTCTATTTTGAAAACAAGACAACAACAACAAAAAATCAAATTCCAGTCTTTTTTTGTAGGTCAAGGGTAAATTTGTAAAAATGTACTTTACTTGATCAACTTAAAACTATTTATTACAAATTCTCAGTTTATTTATTTATTTATTGGCGACCGTCTGTTGCAGCTATGCTCAGATAACTGCCTGTTTCTTGTAACTTTAAGCATAAGGAAAAACATCTTTTGATATGGCGACCCCTGGATTCGTCCCAACGTTGGACCCAAATAGATCACATCGCTATCAGCCACCGATGGAGGGACTCGATAGAAGACTCGCTCATTCTGGAGCACATGCTTAGATTTAGATCATGTTGTAGTGCGAGCGCGTATTTGTCTGCGTCTTACTGGACGTAGGAAAGACGCTGCAAGGAAGCCCCTTAGAGGCCTATTTAATTATAGCCAAGCTAAGGATATATTTCAGGAACAAGTAGGAAAACAGTTATGCAGCTATGCAAGTGTTGCCCACCCCGAGGCAGCGTGGAATGATATCCAAAAAGCTGTGGAAACAGCAGTGATATCTGCTAGTACGGTAAACCATAATGTTAGGGAGAAACACTGCATCTCAGCAGCATCTACTTCACTGATAGATGCTCGAAAACTCATTCAATCTGGCTCTGAATATAACGAAGAGCGGAGTCAGCTTAATTGCAGACTGATAAGAAGCCTACGCAATGATCGTGAACAGTGGTGGGCAGCGAAAGCAAGAGAGATGGAAAAGGCAACAGAAATAGGTAACAGCAGACAACTGTTCAGACTTGTTAAGGAAACCGGTATTAGGAACCCAACTGTTAGCGAGACTATCTCAGAAAAAGACGGAAATATTATTCATTCTCAATCCAGGAGATTGACTCGATGGGCAGAACACTTTAGGGATCAGTTCAACTGACCTTCAGCCACACTTCGGTTTCCCACGATCTCCAGTCGACCTCATTGGCAAGTTAATATAAGTCCTCCAACTCTTTATGAAGTTGAAAAAGCTATAGGAAATCTGAAGCGAGCGAGAGCAGCAGGCCCTGACAGGTTTACCACCGAGATTTTTAAGGATGGTGGTCCATTATTAGCAGCAAGATTGACTGAAGTCTTAGAATCCGGAAACTAGGCGTAATCCCATCTGACTGGTCTCAATTGCTGATCGTATCAATCTATGAGAAGGGACAAAGGTCCTCTTGTGACAATCACAGAGGGGTCAGTTTGACTAATATGGTGTCTAAAATATTAGCTTAACTAAAGCTCGTGAAGAGCAGACTAGAGAAAACCAGGCTGGTTTTCGACCTGAACGTGGTTGTATAGACCAGATATTCACACTGCGTCAGGTCCTAGAACACAGACACACGTTCAGACGCCCCACAATCGTAGTATTTCTTGACCTTAAAGCGGCATTTGACTCTGTTGGTCGGGAGGTCCTATGCCAGTGTTTTTTACTGAAAGGAGTACCAAAGAAGTACAATAACCTTATAAAGGCTCTCTACTCGAACACAACTGGTAGAGTGAAAGCTTATGGCGAACTGTCATCAGAATTGATTACCTCAAGTGGCGTTCGTCAGGGCTGTTCTTTCTCTCCATTCTTGTTTAATTTCGTCTTTGACGTACTTTCAAAGATAACACTTTCTTCATCTAAATTTCCAGAAGTTGAACTCTTACCGGGAGATTCACTTGTTGACCTAGAATATGCCGATGACATAGTGCTATTTGGTGAAGACGCTGACGAATTGCAGAGTCTTTTGACCACTATAAGCAACAATGCAAGCATGTTCGGGATGCGATTCCCCCCCTCGAAATGCAAAATGTTACTTCAGGATTGGGTTGCATCGACACCTGTACTAATGATAGGAAGTGAATTAGTTGAGCGTGTGTTTTAATCTCTCTTCTTACAGTATGACCCAGCTATTCTTATTGCTTGGTATTCTTGGACACCAAATCACTCGACAAGTCGTTCCGTCCTACTTCATGGCAGTGAAACATGGCCGGTAAGAGTAGAGGATATTCGTAGGTCAGTCAGTCAGCTACAACGTAGGACCAGGCACATATGTTCATCGGTCCAGGTTGCCATACCGCATCAGCACAACAAGATGAACACCGGATTCATAGCAGTAGTTAGGTCAAAGGTGGTAATATATAAGAGAAAGATTGCATATAGAGATATAGTACAAGAAGAAAGAATTGGTTCGTAGAAAGAAAGATATGAAGTGATTTTAATCTCTTAGTTTAAGGTAAGACAGGGAGTGTATACACCGACGCCATTGTGATCGATTCTGAGCCATATCACCAAGAGTCTCCAACCGTTGGTTACGAAAGTCACGCGGACCCCAACCAAGTAGTCTGCATCTACCAACATGGCTCAGACTAGAAGTTAGTGTCTTCAAGCACTGATGCCACGTTTTGGTTTGGCCGCCCCTAATTTTCTTCCAACCTTCTCCAATACCGGATAGCATTGCACGTCGTAGGTTACTAGTATTTGATCATAGGTGTCTTCGAAACATTGCTCGTATATCCTGTGACCACCAAGTAAGTAATGCAGTTGTTAGGAAACGGGTTTTAGGTAAGGATGGCAAATCAATTGATGACGTAGTGAAACTTCATCAGTTGAGATGGCTTGGACATGTGTTACGTATGCCCAACGACCGACTGCCTCGACATGCGATGTTCAGTGGTGTAGGAGTAGGTTGGGAGAAAGCTAGGGACGGCCAGACCAAGACATGGCACAAATCCATGAAGTCACTGACGAGTGGACTGAGCCATGCTGTTAGGTGTAGGTGTAGACTACCTAGTTGGGATCCGCGAGACGATAGCAACCGATCGTTACAGATTTTTAATGACATGGCTCAAAATCGTTTGCAATGGTACAGGTGCATCCACTCTTTGTGTTCTCCCGAATTCTAATCTGAATTCTTTATGTCCTTTTTTTCTCTTTCCAAATTTATTTCACTGGATTATACTCTTTGAATAAAATCTTCAAACCCTAGTCTTACCGATTACTGCTTATACTTTTACTACCTCTACCACTACGGTATTTGAATTGATAATTGTATCTTTGTGCTAATGTGATATGGCAACTCGAACTGATGTACGTACGTACGAATTTCTGCGTTGCTTCTGACTAAATGTATTCATTAAATAAAGTAGTTTACAATAATTATTAACTTAATACAATTTAAGCATTAATTTTCTTCTCTTATTAGTAGTTTATTGAAATCAAAGTGATTTTTTACTTTTGGGAATTTATACTTTCTATTTACAAACAACCTAATCAATTTCGTTAAGGGTTTTGTCTAATTTAGTTCAATTTAAAGATAGTTTTCATCGTATTGTACTAGTTCCAGCTAAAGAACTAAAAATTAAGGTGATAGTTAATAGCTGTTTCATTTTTATTTGGTATTCTTCAGCAGTTCATAATCATGAACCAATACAGATTGAACTCAGTTCTTGTGATAAGTAAACCATCTGCAAACCAATAATTTTTAACCATATGATCTATATTTACAAATTTGATGAATTCGTGATATAGCGCCATCCAATTCTATAAACTAAAAAAGATACAGATAATATATTGCTTCGAAAATATGATTTTTATGGACTTTCTACCTCCGGCTTTCTTTATAATCGATGTAGTAGAATAGGTCAATAGTTAACATCATTACTTATCAATTTAGATTATGACAAAATGAATGCTTTAAATTTTTACTCTTTTAATGGGATATATTTTACAGATTGGTTTTACCACTGACCCTCGTATGGCTCGTTCATCACCATACTGTACTGATGTTGCTCGGGTAACGAATTCACTTATTCTTCATGCAAATGCTGATGATCCTGAATCAGTCATGCATGTTGCAAAAGTTGCTGCTGAATGGCGATCTGAATTCGGAAAAGATGTTGTAATTGACCTTGTCTGTTATCGCCGTTCAGGTCATAATGAAATGGATGAGCCAATGTTTACTCAACCACTTATGTATAAACGTATTCGTGAACAACCAACTGTATTAGAACAATATAGTAAGAAGTTAATTGATAGTGGAATTGTCACTGAACAGGAATTTAAGGTAAATTAATATCAATTTAACATATTTATTTGAATAGTTTAATTATTACCAATGTTTAATTTTGTATACAGAGTTGTTCCCATTATTCATATTAAGTCACATAATTATAAATCACCGATCGTAGTTAATGTGAATAATTCAGATATTGGTTTAAACAATAGTGTAATGATGCACCTTATGTTTCCAGAAAACATCAAATTACTTTGTACTACTCATTCCCATAAAAGGGATGATCCTGTTCATATTATAATATCTGGTTATGAGGTTCTCTTCTGATATGTGTTAGTGAAAGTAAAATATGATGATTGGTCACTGATTGTAAACAGACTGGCACTTAGCCTACTGACCATTAAATATGTGATTTCTCTTCCGAACTCATTGAGTGTGCTTGTAATCGTCGTTGAATAAAGTATTGTCTAGTATAATTTTGGTTTTCTATTCTGGGTCGTAAATTCTGGTTCTGATATGACGTGACTAATCTTATTAACCTTATTAAAATAATCAATTTATTGTACTGTCCAGTTAATAAACTTGTTCACTTCTTCAATCATGTATTAACAGAGTAATTAATCTGTACGAAACTTGCCTCCCAAGTCATAATTTTGTGTTTAAGAGTAAATAATTGACCAATAAACCAACCTGCACCCCCCAAAAAAATGAGAACACTAGCAGTAGTGAGAAATATAGCTTAATAAAACATTCATTTCTACATAGATTTTTCTATATTCATTGGAAAACATTTCATTTATTTCCTACATTATATTTCAGGACGAAGTGGCTAAATATGATCAGATATGCGAAGATGCTTATGAATTAGCTAAAAAACGGACAGTTACACATAATCGTGCTTGGATTGATTCTCCATGGCATAATTTCTTCGAAAATAAAAATCCAATGTATTTACCTAATACAGGAGTCGAAAACGATGTCTTAGAACATATTGGTAGGTTTCCATGGGGATTTTACTGGAATGTTATCGTTTAGAACATTATTTTCCACCTTATTCGTTATTTCCGTCCCGGTGCCAAGCCCGGATAAAGAAGGAGGTTTGATGATAGGAACAGCAACCCTACTCCGTAGTAAACAATCCTGCCAAAAAACGCTGATTAGAAAAACACAATTTAAACCATTCAAACTCTGGCCTGGGAGTTGAAGAATCTCCACTTGCAAGAATTATAACGTCTCATTGTGAAAGCCGAGAATTTTCGGAAATCACGAGGTCGTTAACTATTCCAACAACCAAAGTAACAATTAATATCGGTAAATAAAATGTCCGGACAATATAGGAAATAGGAGGACCGACCAAATAGCTGTGGAAATGAAGCGGTACAACTTAACGGTTCTCGCATTAATTGAAATCTGTTGGACCAAGGCTGGACAGAAAAGGATAGATTCGAGAGAGATATTGTTGTACTCTGATCACGAAGACCCAAAAAGAACGCAATGCACTTATAGGATGGGAATCTCATGGATCCAGGATCATCAAAGGATCCTTCAAAACGAAGGTGGGATTCACAACGAATGTTACCCAGTGCTATGCACCCACCAACGATAGCAATGTAGACGATAAGAATCAGTTTTATCAGACGCTACAGGTGATCTTAGAGAAGTGCTCAGTGAAGGACCTGATCATCCTGACGGGAGATCTAAACTTTGAAGCCGGAATGGATAACACCCAATATGAAGATATCATGGGACGACATCGAGTCAGAGAAAGGAATGAAAATGCTAAAGGGTTCACAAATTTATGTGCATTCAACAAAGTAGTTATAGGTGGTACAAAATTCCTCCACAAACGCATACACAAAGTTACATGGGTCTCACTGAATCACACCACGAAGAACCAGATTGGTCATATTTGGATCACTGAAACATTCAGAAGGTTAGTGAAAGTCGTGAAAACCAGGAGAGGAGCTAACATCACCACCAACTGGTGGTTGCCAAGCTAAAAAGGCACTGGACAACAAGAGAAACAGTATTACATATGTTTAATACAGCCTTCCTTCGACATACTGCCAAACTCATCGAATTCAAGATAATTCTCAACAACTGGTTACAAGCCTTACAAGATCTACTGAAAGAAGAAGAAACTACTGTGGAGGACAACTGGAAAGGGATCAAAGAAGCACTAATTTCAATGTGTCAGGAGGTTCTAGGCCTCAAGAACCATCATCATTAGGAATAGATGTCTGTGGAAATACTGCATACGATTCAAGAAAGGAAAACATGCAGACAGTAATCAGGAACAGTCGAACAAAGGAGAAAAAGACAAGTCTTTTGGAACTGCTGGAACTAGGAAAGAATGAAGCTGTCGTATACTGTTTCAAAACTTCCGTTAGAATTATCACTGCTATCACTCCGTAACAATACCATACAATTCATTCTCGTTCGCTCTCTTTGTTTTTGGTTTATCTGCTTGTTAGTGCACGTTAAATGTATCTCGTTCCCAATGTATTTCATGTTAGACTTCTAATATTGCTTTGTTGTCTTATTTGCCACACAACTATCTAGCCTAAGTATATCACGCTAAATTCATTCTGGAAGTATAATCACTACAGTCATTTGCATTTCTTAGACCTATGTGACATTGGTTTAACTTGAATTCATATTAATAAAAAGAGAATACAAACATGGATTCTTTTAAATTACTAGACGTTTCAATGAGTAATGAACCATATGATTGATCTAAAAACAGTCTCCAGCTGTGCGTGGTAGTCGTTATTGGTGAATAATTCGGTGTGTCAAGGATCTGGTCGTACAACAATGCAGCACTGATATGTAGATTAAAGTTTTCATTTTTCGTAAAACTGCAGGGAAAAATTGGTCGGAGAAACCACACTTTTAGTGGGTCATCATCAACGCAGTACCTGAGATATCAAAGAAATAAAGTTGTTAATGACTAAAAGATGGAATAAATTCCAAGGTACCTAAGCTCATTCTGTATTGCAGTAAACACAAACGGGTATTACGGATGAATAACTGGATGTGTCAATGGTCTAACCATACAACAATGCAGCACAGATATATAGGTTAAAGTTGTCATTATATTCCAAACTTATCGTATAACGAAGGGTAATTTTATGTAGATTTAGATAATAAATAGATTACCGCCATAGTATTCACTCAGTTAAATAAATAAGAAAGCCATTTCAAACGAACATGATCTATTAAACATATAGCACTTTGATGATCAATGCTAGACAAGTATTTTGAAAGTTGTATGCAATATCATCAGACGGACTACTTACTGCTAATATTTATTTATATATTGAGAAATCAGTACTGAACTGAAATAGTCCAAAATGCTAAATTTCTTTATTGTATTATATTTAAGCTACGTAATTGTTGAAATTCTGGTTTAAAGGAGATGTTTTTTACTCACTGTAAAAAGATTACAATACAATTATATTTTGTTTTTTTTTGAAATTGTATCTGATGGATAGCAAAAATGACTCAAGAAAATAATCATAGACTAATTAAAATGTGCACAATATTAACCCATATTATGTGTGTGAAACAATGAGGTATAGTTTCCTTATCACTTATCTAGAACTCAAGTTGGGTTGAGGTAATCGAGGCAGCACAAAAAGTGGTCGTATGGTTTCCTTATTATTATTATTCCGTCTTGAATCTAATGTTTCATTAAACTAGATTTTAATAGTAATATAAGTATCCTCTTTTTTAGGTCATGCAATTAGTGAACCTCCTGAAGGTATGATTATTCATCCAGGTTTGAAACGTGCACTCAAGGAGCGCAAAGATTTATTAGAACAGAAAACAGCTAATTGGGCTCTTGGTGAATTGTTCGCTTATGGATCATTGCTACGAGAGGGTGTTCACGTTAGACTATCAGGTCAAGATGTGGAACGTGGAACGTTTTCACATCGACATTGTGTTTTACACGATCAGGTATATTGTTCATTTTTAATATGAATATAATGTATTTTATGATGACGGGGAAATAGAAACGATTTGGTGACTATGAATTACAGTATGATACAATAATATCCTAGGTTTGAGATTATTAGATCACCAGGCTATATCGCCTTGTATACGGATATATAACCAACAAGTGAAAATCAGATTATAGGCTACAAGCAATCCGTACGTGATGAAACCCAGAGTAGAAATCAATAATAGAAAGGAATTCAAATGGTGAAGAGAGGTTAGAGATCTCTGTCTTCGCCAACTGCCCGAACATCAGTTTATTTTTTCAAGTTAGTATCCATTGTAAGGCCCCAGCATAGTGATAGTAAACGTTTATATATATATATATATATATATATATATATATATATATATATATATATATTCACTACAATTTAACTGCATAGGGTTTTAATATTCTATTTCTAAGTATAATCTGGCAGTCGGCAAGTGATCCTAAACCTATTTTTCGTGCCGTTTCAGATTCATCAACACGGTATACCTGTAATCTTAAGGGAACTGATGCACCCTGGTGTATTCGGCCCCGTATCACTCAGTTCCACAGTCACAGACGTTATCACCAGGTTATTTGCCCAGCGAATAATCTGTTGGACTGAGGTACATTTACAACTGATTTATCGCTGAATAGTGACTAATCGCTAGAAAATGTTTTAGGTATTTTTAGTGTTTTGAAGGCAACAACCTGTCCTACTACTTTCCTCTTTTTTCAGCAGCATAGTTTTCTGGTATTAGTTTATGTAATAGTAGTTGAAATGTCGATCTGATAGAACAGCAGCAATTTCATGAAAACTGTACAGATCTAAGAAATAGGATGAATGATTTTTTACTCGAATTTGCATTCTACCCATCTAATATTCCACTGCGTTGTTTAATAGTTAGCAAATATTCACTTTATTAAGTTTGATTGTTTTGAACAATTTATTGAACTAAATCCCCCAGATAGTCCATTTTTACATCTTGCATTCAAGAACAAACCATTAATTTCTTCACATCATGTATGGTTGTTCAAATCGTGCTTATCAGCAATTTTCTAGTCTTAATCCCCAAACTAGCATATTTAACTAAATGATGGACTTCATCATAGTTGTCTTACAAGTTTTCCAAACAAATTATTTATTTTGATGTTAGCACACTGTAAAGCTATCATTTTCGTATGCTGATTTTACCTTGGCTTATCTACTAAAATTTCGAAACTCGTGCCTAATTTCAATATATATTGCAAAGTATATCTAATGTTAGAACGCTTGCCACATTAAACTTTTTCTTTTCAGGAAGTCGATAAGAAAACATATGTTCCGCTTAACCATCTCTATCCTACACAAGCACCATTTACTGTATGCAACTCGAGTTTATCTGAATACGCAGTAATGGGCTTTGAGTTGGGTTACTCATTGACAAACCCTGAAGCTCTCGTTATATGGGAAGCTCAGTTTGGTGATTTTAACAACACTGCTCAATGTATAATTGATCAGTTTATTTCTTCTGGTCAACAAAAATGGGTACGTCAATCAGGAATAGTTCTTTTGCTTCCACATGGTTATGAAGGTATGGGTCCAGAACATTCTAGTGCACGTATCGAACGATTCTTGCAGATGAGTAATGATGAGGAAAATCATGTCCCTGTAAGTATATTGTTTCCCATATTTGTTTTCTAGTTATGACTTGTATAGCACATAGGTTTGATACTTATTCACAATTGTTTATCATTTTATATATTGGTTTCCAACATCAAATTAATAGAGCGATTTTTGTATACTGTCCGATGTATACGATAGGTATGTGTTTACCAGTTTATTCTAACCTACCTGAAATATATAGTGCATTAACCTAGGGGCACTTAAAATTCATCATCATTCAAGTGTGTTGCTTCCGTTTGCATGGTTCAGTGAGTTGTCCGTACGTTGTCTGACATTATTTCAAATTGTATCACATTCTTTCGTGTTTTAAACATTTAAACTGAAGTTTGATGTTTGCCAGTAGATATATTATCTTGTCTAGTGTATCAGCTTGTGTTATCAGAAGATCGTGTTATCTTCGGAAGCGCTAAATAAAGTATTTCACTGTCATGTGAGCAGACGTGAGACATCTAGAAAGCTGGAACTATCATTTATTACTAGCGCTTTGTTGATTGACATTGTTTTGTTAATACTTTACTGTTATCTTTCTCTTCCCATTTATATAATTGTATTCAGTCGCCGTCAATGGTAAGCAAATTTAATGGGTCCATATGGCTAATCATTTTCTGCGTACATGTATTTTCTTTTCTGAATTCTACCGTATCACCAACAACTATTATAAAAGACTGCAAACTGCATCTCCTAAAACAAGTATTTGAATGTCAACTGTATTTTAATGAGACCATATGTATATCTGGACGGTACTAAATGCAAAAGCAGTCGTCCAATTTCAGCTTCATAATAAAAATGTCAAGAAAGTTTTTTTTAGAAAAATTGACTGACGACTTATTGAATCATGAATGAGATTTTTTTATCCCGAAATGGCCTTAGATAATCTTTTTACTGTAAACATAGCGGTTAGATTAGATAAGAATAGATTAAGAAAGGTCTAAAGGTTGTTTGACCAAGCGAAAGCATTAGTCCATGACTCCATAGATTGTTGATTTTAGCTGTGTTGGGGAATACAGCCTTTCGTCGTTTATGCTCCTGTTATTGATACCCTAGTACGACCGAAGGTGGAGAGAGTCCGCTCTTTCTCTCAGTATGCTCTCAAATGGCCACGTTTATACAGACACTGCTAGAAAAGTCCAACTCACTGTCATCCCGCGGTGGGGTTCACCTAGGGGAGTTGTGAAAACCCTGATTCCACACCAATAGTGCACATGGGCTCCAGCATCCTGAAGTAACAAATGGTGTATGAACCTATTGTTAGTCACCGGCTACTATGGGACTGCATTTCTTAACGTTGCTCCACTGTTTTATGTAATAGACCTCTAGGTTAAAGGCTCGGGGAGTGGCTCCCTAAGAAAACCACCTGCTTCGGTTTTGGCACCCGGGCAGTATCCTCGCCTTCACACAAGTCAAATGAAGTGTGCGCATATGTATTTGGTGCCTCCTTTTAGCAATATTTATGTGTTTAAATTAATAGAAATAAATTTTAATTGCTTTATACTATCTTGTTGTGGATTGTGATAACAAGCGATTTCTGCTGTCTTAACTTTTTGTATATTCTTTTCTACCAAAACTACTGTTTTGGCATTTAGTTGTTAGTAGATAACCAGTGTGAGAATATTAAGGACTTTCCTACGCTTATTTATACATACTGTACTTGTTCTCATATAGTGCTATCATTTTGTATTACTTTATTGTGTATTAGCGCGCAAATATATTTGGAGATTGTTGTACACTTTTAGAATGGACAACTCGAATGCGCAATTTTGTGTATAGACTTGTACAAGTGATTATTCCGTCCATAAATCCGTATAGAGATAAACTATATACAAATTTATAAATAAATAATATATTTGTAATATCCCAATGAGTGGAAAAATTAGATTTGTTGATGTTTCGTGACTTATTTTAAGCCACTTTTTCAGAGAATAAATAAATAACCAAATCAAAAGTTTAAATAGTATGCAAATTTATGATATGTACATAGTCGTTATAAAAAGTTAGGCATTATTCTACTTTTTATCACTCAAACAGTAACGTTCTCTCTTAGGAATTGTTATTGTCGACTTATTTTAGCCATTTTTATTGCATGTTGGAAAGAGCCAGAATATTTTTCGAAAGAAGCCCAGAGAGGCTTTTAAACGCTTGGAAACATTTTATTTATTCAGCACTAAATAGAAGTTTCTCAAAAGCATCTAGAAAGTGGAGCCACATGTCACATTTCTAATTGGATGATTACTTATCCTGCTACTTTGTTTAGTTGGGCTCCAGAAGCCCGAAGCCATCTAAAATGCTATAAATACATGCTACTAAAATAGTCAATAATTATAATCGAAAATCACATATTTTTTCTGTTTACAACTGTCTTTTTTATAATATATCTCATTTTTGGACGAATTAATTCTAGTGCAACATTATGTGTTATGACGGACATAAAATTGAACCCAATAGTTGGGATATAATTCATTGGAGGGTGAAGAATCTACAAAATTGTTCAGTCGGTTTATGTCATTTGATCATACTTATTCTTCAGTTAGTATTCCGTACATAAATTTGTTATTTTTTTACAAGAAGAAATTCTTCTGGCTAGTTTTATCGTTGATTCCAAATCATTTGGGGACTTACGTCAACAATACCGTCTCGTTAGTAGCCATCATTTAATAATATCATCTGTCAATCAGTATTCTTTTCTTTCATTTTCGACGATAGAAAATTCGTTCATTAGATCATAAAAATTCTCCTTCATGACGTCTGTGGAGATCTATTTTATTGTAAAAAAAGAAAGGAGGAAAATTGCTTGAATAAGATACAGATTAGTCAATGTAGTTCAGGTCTGTGCTATTCGAAGTAATAATATGCAGCAAAATCGTTTCACCATAGACAGTAACATTTGTTTAGTGTTTTTTTGCAAGGACTGTGTATCTCATAATTTATTCCTCTAATGGTTTAGTAAAATCGTCATACTGTTCTTTTTATTAGAAGCCTCAACATTCTCTCTTGTCAATGATTTTCCTTTTATGTTTATATGGTTTACTGTTGACACTGAAACTAGTAATCATTTTTGTTCCAAGTAGTTGCTGCCGAAGGTGTTAATTGTATGCCGCTTAGTCTTTAGTATTACTAGCATTGGACATAGTTACCAAGTTATGGAACTATCGTCTTACAAGGCATTATCAGATTCATAGGAGATAAATTCCTTTGCGTATAAATATCAGTTGTTTGTGATTTCAGTTAGCTATATATCTTCATCGATTTGTGTTTGGAAAATGAATTAAACCTTGAATGAAATGTGAAGTTATCATGTGTGTTATTTATCTATATGATGGAAAAAGTGGGTCTTTACCTGTCTTGATCACAGTATCCGGTAAAAAATCCTCTCTTTAGTTATTCAGTCATTGAATTCAATAAACAAGAAATTCATATCTGGGTAGCTGCGTTTATTTAGAAATGAGTTATTTCTGGGTAATCTTTCTGTTTGAATTGGAATACCTTTTTTACGGTGAATATTCACTATAGTAATTACTATTTCTCATCAATTCTCAAAATTTACATTCACAAATCAACTTTGCTTGTTTGTTTTTTAAAAAATGTAATTAAATTTATTTCTATAGAATACTAGAAAATTCTGTAAAAACGATTATGTTAAAATAATCTTGTTCAGAATACAAAATGTGACTTATTAATTTCTGTAGCTAATCTGTATATTTTAAAGAATGTTTTGTTAGTTAAACTGGATAATCAGGCGATTCTTTTTTCTTATCATTTTGCAAAATAATTTCTTTCATACTTCTTTCGTATAAACTAACAAAATATCAGCTTATCTGTATTTTTAGTAGAATTTCAATCTAATCATTTATATGAGTACATTTTTTGATAATCACGCTAGTGTGTATGTGTGTGTTCTTAATCTTGTTTTTGTGTTTTGATTAACAATTTTTCAATAAAGCCGTAGCGTTGCACGGACAATTTTATTCTGTTGTACTTCTGGTACTAGAGTCTAGTAGAATACATCATCTCGTATACAATCAAAACATATTCATTAGCCAAATACTTTATACAATATAATCAGGTTTTAATGATTTTCATCATCGCAAAGAAAGAAATTCAACTATTTACACCTCAATCTTATCAAATATGTTTTTTTTATTTTCAAAAAAATTTTATTCTAGGTTTATAGTGATAATTTTGTCATGCAACAGTTACATGATACAAATTGGATTATTGCAAACTGTACTACACCAGCGAATTTCTTCCATATTTTACGACGACAAATTCTGCTACCGTTCCGTAAACCAGTAAGTGATTTGGGGTTCGTTGTAAAGGTCTTCATTCAACTTTTAAAAAGCGCTAGCCTAATAGTTAGGTCATCAATAGACCTCTGATTCAAACCTCCTTCAGTCGGGATAATAATATAGTATCACTAGTCCTGTACATCTAGAATGTGACTTAAAGCCGATTGATTACACAACTCACGAGGTAAAGATTCGTGTACTTGGCTTAGAACTACACTATATGTATGACAGATTTTGGTGAAGTTTCGTTCTCTGAACCTAGAGGATGAAACTTCACAAAAATCATCCACTTGGACCTTGAATCCTTACCATCTCAATGACGATACTACCCGATTGCCAAAACAGAATTAGGTAAAACGGCAATCATACCTAGAATTTATTGTTTGAACGTCTAATCCTCTAATCACTAAATAACCACTACAAAAAATAAATCTCTGAAGTTAATCCTCTGATCATTAAGAAACGAGCATGTATTCTAAGTGAACACAACCCATGATCTTGTATTTTAAGTTCTATAAAACATCACTTCCAGATGATTATTAGGCCATAATGTATCAAATGTTTCCACCATGATTTATCAAGTTGTTTACTCAATGCTTTTGCTAAACAATAGTCGTCTTTCAGTGGTATAGATGAATTTAACCCGTTCATATATTTCAAAAATAAAAAAACTACTTAAGCAAGAATATGGTGGTTAGATAAATATCGTTGCTTTTATTTTGTACAACAATATTCTTCCACTTTTATGTTTTTAATAACCTTCATGTGTGACTTTCGCAATTTTGTTTTAGCTGATTGTCTTCACTCCCAAGTCATTATTACGCCATCCGGATGCAAGATCGCCGTTCTGTGATATGCTTCCAGGCTCAGAGTTCCAACGCTATATTCCTGACAGTGGTCCAGCTTCACACAAACCTGAAAATGTGAAAAAATTAATTATTTGCAGCGGCAAAGTAAGTTTTATCATGTAATTTAAGTGAAATGTGATACATAACAAAATTTATTTGCTTCATTTGTCTTACGTTTCGAAGTGATCGTTTGCTGATTACACAACCAGGTTGTACTTACTGGATTATATGGGCGTATAATACTTATTCAAGTGTATGTTCGGTCCTTCACCGTGTATTTTCAAATCAGTATATTTTCGTCACTGATTATTGATACCCAGACTTTTTATCATTATCGACTTATTTACAAAACACTTTTCGAACATATTAGTTTTATTTTTGTATTTGCAAGAATAATTCTATGTTTATTTAAGAGCTTTACCAATTCTGCCATGCAAAATACTTTTCTACACTCTGTCGATCTTATTATCACTCATAAACTGCAAGTATGTGGTAGTGTTACTTGGTTTATACAAGATTTCCAAAATATAAAACATGTTCACAATTGTTAATCCTACACCGTTGACCTATAATGTTTCAATTTATCTGGGACTGAGTACTTATATTTTATTTGCAGGTTTAATTGGATAAGTGTCAATGTCTTTCAAGTCATAAAATGTCCAAATGCTTGATTAGATGTTTGGTTTTGTTCTGTCGTTTCAAACCATATTCTCAATATTCAGTTTTTCTTAACATCATTTCTGCTATACCATTTTGATTCATTTGCTTTCCATCTTTTTAAATTTACCTCTTGGTAATAATTTAACTCATCTACCAGTTAGTTAGATATGATGAGCCACACTCCAAATGTGAGGAGTAATGGCACTAAACGACTACCCAAACTTATATTAAGTGGAACGGGGCTCGGGCCCGGAAGTTGGTGGTCGAAAGTCAGACGCTTTAACCACTATGCCATTGCTAGTGTGCCATTGGCAACTTAGAGCGGCGTGTGTATATATGCCTGAAGCTCTGCGTAGATTTTATTTCATTGGTATAACCAGTAATCTAGAAATGTGCTTTTAATTGACTTTTATTTTTATATTACCTAGTGCACTTTGACTTTAGTAATCTATTTAGTCATACTACTATGCAAAATGACATTCAATAATTATCACTATTTCTTCATAGAGAAATATCTTTCCCGGTCCTTCTTTCCTCATTGAAATAAATAAGTTATAATCAATGAGATGTATACTTGTTTAATTTTCCTTGATTATTTAGGAAAAAAAGCCAAATTGTCTACTTCCCGTCTGTGATTATTCACTAACTTTTAGTTTTGTATACATAGAATATTCTTGTCAGCGTTTCAGTCGAAAACTATCAGTAGTTCCTTAGGATTGATTCTCATCAGGTTTCTCTATCTATGAAATTATATCTATTCCTAGTATCTTTTGTGACTGGACTTGTCCTGTGACCACCAGGATTTTAAATAGTTTCTCGTAAAACCATATCGTTTTTCAACTTTGTTGTTAGCTGTTCTAAGATTAATTCTATTTGTATTTCAAATAATAAAACCCATAATAATCGTTGATATATTCATAATTTAATGTTAGTGAGAAGAAATAGATAGGACCGCAATCTATTCACAGCCCAAGTGATTAGAACATTGAGAAGGACACTTCAGAGAACAATTCATTTATTTTTCAGTTATCTGCTACTCTAAAAAAGTTAGAATTTAAGACTAAAATAAACTTCTATCTGATTCTTTCTACTTTTTAATAATTTTTTAACCAACGTCACTTTATGGTGTTAATCATCGTCAAATTCTTTTCATGATTACACATAAAAAATCGCAATTTCACATTTCATTAATACAATCACTTTAAAGCACTACTACAATGAATATTCATGAGGCAGTGTTGTTTATATTCGTTTTATTTTTCAGATTTATTATGAATTAGATAAAGAACGCAGATCGATTAATCGAGAGGCAGATATAGCTATTAGCCGAGTAGAACAATTGACTCCTTTTCCATATGATTTGATTCAACAAGATTTAGAACGTTATCCAAATGCTGTTATTCAGTGGGTACAAGAGGAGCATAAAAATATGGGACCATGGAGTTATGTACAACCAAGAGTTAATCATTTAATATTTAGAACAATGCCTAATCGTCTTCACAATAAAATTTTGTAAGTTGACATATTCCCTTCTATTCAAATTATGATTTCCTTTCGCTCATTTTTTTCTGTTTTCCGCAACAACAATTAATAAACTTTTGTTTACTAAGTTTTCAGACTATGTGAACGTCTTTGTTTCCAAATTCTATATTAAAATGTTTATCGAAGTCATTAGTTGTATGGCAGTAAAACAATAGTGAGCTACTATGCCATCTTCATGAACTTATTGCAATATGAATAAATTCATGTCTAAATTGCTCATAAAATGCTCATTTGTGGTCATATATATATAGAAGTAATATTTTATACAGCTAAATATGAACTATCTTTACAAATATTCGTAATATTGTTACATTTTGCTGGTTAATGGTATAACTTTTTTGATATTTCACACAATCAAAAGTGAGCGAAAGGATCTACAATGACCAAACTGATTGTAAAACTATCAGCAATGATTTTGTATATTGTTATCTATCAGTTTACTCATATTAACCAAGAAAAACTTTTATAACCGGTTTCTTTATATCTATGAAACAACTGTATGGTATTTTCTAGCTTTCTTTTTCGTTTATATTACATTGTTTTTCTACAGACAACTGTTACTTTTGTAGCAAAAACTAGGGATTAAAATCTCATAGCTCTACTGTTTACATGATTATTATTATTGTACAATCAACCTTATTTTTACGGAACACTATATATACGACTTGTGAGTCATCTTGTTACATTAGTAATTCTCAAATATTGATTAGTAAAGCTGAATTCGAACATATTAAATCGTATATGAACATCTCGGCGGACCAGGCACAGTTTTACTTTTTCATATATGTAGGTTATATATCAAGCATTATATCGGATTAGATATGCTGTTTTATTTATTTGTATCACTTTAATCGTTACAATTACGTTGTTGTTTAGTTTTATTAAACTTTAATTTTATTAAATCCTCACTCTTTTTAATTTTATTTTAGATATGCCGGTCGACAACCTAGTGCTGCTACAGCTGCTGGGAATAAGGCAATGCACTTGATGGAGATCTCTCATTATTTGAAAAATGCCCTGTCATTATCTTAGTTTTGACAGTTCCGTAAAGATTTATTTCGCTCTTATATAAAGTTTATTAATTAACTGATTCTCTGAGAGACTTCTTTTAATTGTCTTTTAGTTTACCCTATTTGTCATTTTGTCTCAATTTCATCATTATTTATCTTAACACTTGTTGTTGTACGTGTAGTTGATTAGAACTTATCGCACTGAATTGAATGAAGATATTTCAACTATATGTAATATTGAATTTCTCTGCTGTTAATTAGTTGCTTTATGTAGTTGATTCCTTTCATAAGTAGTTAACACACCATTCATTTTCCTAAATTTAATAATGTCCTTCAAGTTCATTAACAAATTAGAAAGTATCGACGTCCTTCTTGGTTTTCTATTGTTTGTCAGATTTATCATCGGAAATGAGCCTGTTCTATTAATTGTGTAAAGCAATAGTTAGCAGTTTCAAATAGTACTAGTCTGCGTGCATTTTTAACGATCGTAAATGCTGCAGTTTTATTTATTTCATCATGTATCTTTATAACTACTTTTAGTACATTTGGTTATCTCAACCGTTGCTGCTACCTTAAGTTGATGATCGACCTTACCTATCGTAACGAACCAGTCGAGCTATACTGGCTGAAACAATCGTTCCTCGATGTCCTACCATGCCAGACAGGTCGATTGAAGAGCGGTAAGACTAAAAGCAACAAACCCAAGGTCCGAGGGTGAAAGTCGTACAACTGATTGTACAAAGTTGTGACGGCAGTAAGGTGTTTCCTTCAGATAACCAGCATAACAGCGGTGCTGCCTTCCCACAAGAAGGGGTGGGGTTAGAAAAGGTCGACCATAAAAACGCACACCACACCTTATCCCACGGATATCCATCTCTGGCGATAAAATCCCAGCAAGTACGGAAAAGTACTCACAAAAAAAGTCGTATGGGTCTGACCTCAGACGGTTGTCCGTTAGGCACTGCGGTCACGCTCTCATGTCACTAAGACCACTCCTAACCTAATTTCCTTTTCAGGTACCGCCAGACGGACGCTTCACGGTGTGAATGACCGCCTCATACCTCTAAAAGCAGGCAATATTGACCACTGGTTATATGTTTGCGATCATTATTTTGTAAAGGCTTACAGACCTACTGTAATCCTTAGTATGATTGATAACATCATTTACATTCTCCAATCTTTGAGTATGATGTCTTTCATGAGTCTGAAAATCTCAACTCAGGACAATTTTAGTCTGTGGAGATATGACTGACAAGCTTATTTTGTAAATAGTTTTTAATATTACTTGTATTTACTCTACTCATAAGCATGTTAAGTATTCCGTTGATTAATCAATTGTGTCCAATTGGACACAATTTCAAAATAAATTATAAGGGTTGTATGCTCTAAAATATTTCATACTTTCGAAATAACTTCCGAATGTCCCCATCTCAAATCTAGACCTGTACGATAGCTGGATGCAAATATTTCATCTTGAAATTTCTGATATTTCTCTGAAGCTAACTCTTGATCAACTCCCTACACATAAACGATGAGCAAGCTGATTTCAACTTCGTTAACTTTCATACAATTAATTTCGGTATTCTGTAGGGATCTATTGTCTTCGTCGCTTTTCTTTCGAACAAAATGTTTTGGTGTGATTTGCACACTTTTCGTGTTGGAGTTTTTGGAGATTCAAACTAAGGTTTCTCACAAGCTACCATGGCAACCAAATCAAGTGTGCATGTTCGATTTTTCTGTAATCATTTTTGCCGTTGCCTCGAGTAATTTTCAGCATGTTTTCTGGGTCTTTCAAAGACTATGATAAACTTTTAAAGAATATATATTCTCTCGTTCATTGCTATACTTTATACTCATCATGACCGAAAACTTACAACATGGCTCAGCAACAATCATGTTAATGTGACTGACAGGTCAACGAACTTTTGACGAAGGATTGTCTAGACAACATTTTTTGTCTAAGATTCCTAAACTGATGCAGTCAGTGCTTGCCTCATTTCAAAACAATGCCGTGTACGAGCTGGCTGCATCTGCGACTGAATTCTAGAGATCACCAGAACTTCAAACGCTGAGGCCTATTCAGTCAAAAAAACATCAAACGACACGAAATGACGTTACGGCGCATTGACAAGCTGCCTTAATGTTTGTGGAGACTGTAAACTCTCACGTACTCTTCAGAAGTGTACTTCACGAAAACGATCTGTCTCTAGATCACATGAGACAGATAAAACTGATTGGTTCTGGTACCGCCCGACATGAAAAACGTTTCGGGAAACTTCCCAGCCAGCACGCGTTAACGCCAACCGTAGCCGGCTACCTCGTCGACACCGATGTTAGCGTACTTTCGGCCAATTCTATCGACTCCTTGAAGCAGATTTGAACGTACAGGCGTCAAATGGGAAACCGATCGCCGCATACAGTTGGCGATATGTTCATCTTTACGTGGGCTTACAAAAACACATCCACTGGATCTTCGTTGTTGCAGATATTTCTATGCCGATCACTGGTACATGCCTGCTACGACATCGTTATTTACTCATCAACACGTGCAAACGGAGGTTAGTAGACGGAACTAATAAGCTATCTGTTTGTGAAACTTCTTTATCCAATGGTAGATTATCCCCAGTCATAGTAAGGCAAACGATTTGTCCATACTACCAATGAATACGCGTTTAGTGCTCTGTAACGTACCAAACGCAACCGAAATTACAGCGTGTACCCAGCGATGTTAAACATGACATAACAACTACAGAACCATATGTATTCTCGAAAGCGCGACGACCAGCTCCCGTAAAGCTGAGGTTGACTAAAATCTGATTCGATCACATGATAGATTTAGGGGTCATTCGACCGTCAAACAGCTCATAGCCATCTCACTTGAATATGGTCCATACAAAGGACAAGAACGACTGAAGTCCATCTGATGACTACCGGCGATTGAATGCGGAAGCCATTCCTGATCGTCACCCGTTGCCCCACATTAACGATTTTATAGATATCTTAAAAAGTACAGCTGTTTGTTTGAAAATCGACTTAATCAAAGCATATAACCGAATTCCCATGGCTGCTGACCACATTCCTAGAACCGCTATCATCACAAATTTCGCTTTCAACGACTTCATACGCATGCATTTCGGTTTAAGAAATATTGCACAAACTTTCCAGAGATTCATCGATGACATTTTTCGAGATACCATCTTTGTACATGCGTTGTATATGACTGCTTGAATGAAAGTTCGTGCACATGATCTCTTCTCCAGTGTTTGGACATTGACTTCAAACGAATGCAAAAAACGTCATTCCCGTAAACATTCAGAAGTGTTGAATCGGAACCGACTTCTGAAATTTTTCAGGACATATTATTGGTGACCGAAGCATCTGACCTATAAAAACAAAGTTGCGACCATTAAGGGCTATCTAGAACTGACCAAATTCGAGAAATTACGTTAGTTTAATGTATTAGTAATTTTCTATGGACAACTCTAACGAATTTGTGCGTATCCTACGAGATTTCTAACCAACTAATTTCGTGGATATGCGAAATCCATCATTCTGAACGATGCTGAGAAAGAAGCATTTTCAACGGTTTAGAAACTTACTACCGAAGCAACAATACTTGCACACAGCAGGACACCAAAACACCACTTAGTATTTCAGTACACGCATCCCTTTCGTCGATCGGAGAAATCTTACAACAACGTGTTAACTACACAGGGCAACCTTTGGAATTTTTCTAGAGACGGTTGCTAGACACCGAATTGAGGTATAGCACACACGGTAGGGAACTCCCAGCTTTGTATTCTTTCCGCATGTCACTTGCAACACTTTTTTGAAGGCCGGGAATTTGTTACAACCTTGGACATATATAACAGCGCTACCTTTTTTATTTTTCATAGCTAATATCCAAATTAATGCTATTCATAAATTGTTTATCAACATCGCCATAAAGCCTTGTTACGATTTGACAAGCACGCAATATGGTCGATTTAAGCAAAAAAATTTAGAATTTAATTGATAAATAACCTGACTAATAACTATTTACACGTATAGTGTTGTTTTATCCTGTTGATTAAAACATATGCTCTCATGGTTTGCACTCAATTTACCGGTTTACGAACAGTTAATTAGTTGAAGATACTGTTCAGTACATTGCCTGTGGGTTACTATATTAGCTGTATTGATTTACGTACCTAATTTCACATTCAGTTTACAAGTGATCCATTAGGTAATCAGAACTGTGAGTTTACGACATGACTCTCACTGTTACGCCGGCTTTAAACCAACTAATGTCAATGGCCCAGTGTTGTGACTGCAGTATTTCCCTACATTGATCAATTATTCGTAGTACTCATGACAAATAGAACTTGCACAGTTGAAATGTGCAGACCAACTCGTTAGCTAGGTGACTTTAGGAGACATAGCTACAATATAACGTACATACCTACACCAACCTATGAGATGGTTAATCTGCAATATTCCGATTACGTCTCTAACCATCAAAAAACTGTTCAGTCATCATACTCTTAGTAATTTACTTTTTCTCCTTAACCGAAATTTCTACTTTTCCTATTCAGGATGTACTGCTATGAGTCCGCGGGGCAAGGTAAAAACGGTAATCCCCTTCAAATCTGTCCACCGTTTGGTTTCAACGATCTTGAACGGCTTGACTAGAGGCAATCATTCCGTATATCAAATGCCGTGAGTGTGTTGGGTCGTATGAGCACTAGGTTTTTCCATATTTAAGTCATCTTTTGCTACATGAAAAAGCACAAAATGACTTCTAAGAGCATTAATTTAGCATTCTCTGTTTTGTAGTGTACACGTTAGCTTTGTTGTTCCCTCGTAATTTGATCTGTGGTCCCAACTGCTGTAGTAAACGTCAACACCTTTATATAATTTGTTGATAAGGTCCATAAAGTAACGTCAGAAAGATAACTTGGAAAGTTATAGATACTTAGAGTTTTTGTGAGTCTCTGTTAAACAAAGAGGTTAAGACGAAATATTTGTTGCACTTCTTTCGGTTGTTTTTTTTCAAGGAATTGTAGTATTATGGTCTACTATGATATTAGTACTGCTCTAATAATAGACCTAATCCTAAATTTGTAGATTTGTCATGATATAACTGCCTAATCTATAAGATCTTACGTGGAAGTCACACCATCGACTACACCAACTCACTGTATCGTATCAATTACCAATACATGATGTAGAACAAGGTTAGGCTAGAGAAAGAACAATATATTTAATATGAATAGAAGATATAAAGTAAAATTGAGATGGACCACGCCTGCATGGACGAGCCATGCCATCCGATCAAACCCAGTCCATTCAATTCATTCTCCGCGCCTTCTCCATTGTTAGGTATTCCCC